ATTACTCAACTGTTATTTTAATGCCCTCTTATTATGCACCGCTATGTAACAAAAGATACTGCCTAGTTCTTAAAACTCTTAAATTTCCATACACATCCACCGGAGTGTAACTAGTGAAAACGATTACTTTCCAAATTACCCCACAATTATGGCATGAAACCTCATCTACTTACATGTTACTGATTTTAAGGGTCTACTTAAACCGGTCTCTTTCAGACATAACTTGGTACGTCATTTCATTGATATAGTATAAGCATCAGGTAACAATATATAATGGTTGTTTAGACTAGACCAGGAGTTAGAAAGTATTCCGTAATAGCTCTAAAGTCATATAATTATGTACTAATAAGGTTTAATTGTATATTGCTTTGTCTTTTCATTATAGTCATAATTAGTTACTGACAAAGAAACGTTCTTTGTCTGATTTTAATTGCGACTGTAAGTAAAACGACAAGAATACGATAATTCGATTGTTCTTCATCTAAGTTCTATACAATAAACATTGCACACGAGTTGCAATATATTTGCGCATGTAATGTAATTAAGCTGTAAACAAATTGCACCAAAATCAAAATTAGTTTACTGGACATGCAATACAATATAGTCTGTAGAAGAAACGTTTATAAACGTTTGCCTTTGAATAGAAAAGAGAATAGAAAACGTTTATTTGCCAGAATACAGAAATTATACAGATCTTAAATATAATTAGGTACAATGTATTCAACCTGCAAGCAGGTGCATATAATATTTAAATGAATTAAATATTTTTGCCTCCAAAATGAATTGTATTTAAAATTAATATAAATTAGTATTTGTAAATTCTAAATATTCTTTATTTTTTATTTTTATAATATCATGTAACGGAACGAACAAGATATTTTATTACTTTAGAAATAATGTGTCATAAGCCATTTTGTCAATTGTGATTTAAACGTAGGTCCGTGTAGTAATTTAAATTCATTTGGTAAACTATTGAAGATCTTAATACACATATTGAAGCAGTTATTCTTATAAATTAATTTATGGCAACGAAATTGGTATAGAAGATTCATGATTTTAACTCTGGTTTATCTTTGTATCACTTCACCACGTGTTTTAAAATATAGAGGATAAGTGTTCACAAATACACAGATGTCCCTAATATACATGCATGCCAAAGGCAGTATGTTCAACTTTTTGAACAACGGTTTGCAGCTATCATCGAACCACGCACCACAGACCGCTCGAATACACTTCTTCTGAACCTTGAACACTCTTTCTAAACCTAAATTACTTAATGTATGAGAAAAATACGTGTCATAGCGATCAATAGGCAAAAGCACGACTCTCGCGCGAATGTGTTAAATGTTTCTTGGTGTATGTGTCTAATGAGACTAACATGTTTAATAATGGTCAAAGCCCCTTGATAAATTAAAAAAATTAGAGTCGCGAAAATTTTAAATGCATGTTTGTTGAAGTAGCATTTTGATGTATTTGTTTTTTGGATTCTATTAACACAATTCGCGCGAGCTACTTACTATGGCGCCCTAAATATTTGTTAGTGATGGTGACAACGTACTATTACGTCGTTTATTTTCTTTTATTTCATCGAAGACCGTAAGAGAACGGTATTTGACAATACAAAGTCGTAATAGTGACGTAATTTCTCCACAACATAATCAAAATTAGTACTGTTAAAAGTACTTTTAAAATGCGGTTCACAATCTCAAACGTAATCTTAACTCGACCATGGACCTATGACCCAAGAAGACTGCTAATATCCATACTATAGATAGCATTAAATATAACGTAATTCCCTAGTGATGGATTATTTCTTCAGTCAGAGTACAAAAGTAAAAAGACCAAAGATTCTGCGCCAACTTAGACAAATTTCTTCCTGCCAAAACCGCCAAACATCATCGAGGAATAGCTGTTTTGGCGGTATTGGCTATGACCAACAATAATACCAAAAGATGACAACAGATGGCAGATTACAAGCAAAGCAAAGAAATATTAATTGGCAACACCGATATAAAAGTAAAATGACATCTGTAATTCAAATTTCTCAACAATAACAACTTTAACTATAATACTTGAATTTATTATGAAAAGGTATATCATATATGAATCACCATATTTGTTCGAGTATGATACAATATTACAATGTAGTATGCAAAACACGACCTGGTCATGATTGCAACCTAACAATAGTAACTCTGAAAAGGTCAACATCCCGTCTTATGTCTAAATGGCGCTGATCGATAGCCTCGAGGTAGTATAATATTACCTAACTTGCCGTGGATATCAATTAATTCCTGTTTAGATAATTTTTTATTTTTTAAGTTGTAATATTATTCAAATATTACAATGAACTAAATTTATTTTCTGAACTATGCAAATGTACGTCAATCAATAGGTCAATAGATGGCATTAATTATGTGTAAAAATCGTAAAAATTGAAAAACTGCTTATTTTTTTAAACGTTAACACCACAGATTAAAACGCTGTGCTTTTTTTTAAAAAAAAGCGTGCATTTTTAAACGCCTTTCACGTTTTAAGCTTACAAAATCGTTAGAAAAACGTTTAAGCGCATAAACGTATATGTTAAAAAAGCTTGCAATAATGTGTTGATAGCGAAAAGCATGAATAGACCACTAAAGGTTTTAAAATAAGTAAGTTTATTTGTAAAACACGAGTTTTATTTTTATTTATAAAATTATTATTCACAATTATGAATTAATGTGTTTGGTGAACATAGATGGCGGGACTTGAAACTTAAAAAGCAAACTTTTAAAGTGCTATTTATTTAAACATCTCTAATTATGTGTTGTTATTATTATTATTATTATTATTAGATTGGCTTCATTTGCGGCCTATGAGGCCCCTCATCACTGCGACCGTTAAATGATATATTGTTAATTACACTTCGGAGCCAAGATCAACAGCATTAAGGAACTGAAGGACTTTCCTGGCTCCGACAGTTTTTATGTCCTCTAGGCGTGGCCTAGTGCCTACCCAGTATGGAACTTCTTACGCCCATTAGAGGGCAGCACTGGGTGAGGAGATGCACACGAGTTTCATCCGCCTCGTGACAGAATCTACATTCTCTGTTTTCTCTCTGCCCAGTATTTGACTTGTGCTTGTTCAAGCCACTGCCCTGTTAAGGCTCTAGTCAGCATTCTGATGCCATTCCTGTCCAGTAACAAAGCTTCTCTACAGTGTTTGGCATTGAAGGCAGCATACAGGGCTTTTGAATGCTCAAGACCCTGAGTCTACAGGTATACGTCACGGGAGACGTGTGCGCTCTGATCTAATAAATTACCGCTTGTTAATATGAGTAGATGGCGATACTCCTAAACAAAATAAAAGAAGAGCCGATAGTAATCATAAAAATCTGTGAAATAAGCGCCATCTAGTTGCTTTGTTTGTTATCACTAGATATTAAATTCAGTAAATTGTAGCTCGTCAATGTACAACAAATTAGTTACAAAAATAGCTATTTGGTACTAACATCTGGTATACCAATAGATACTAAGTACTCGACAACGCTGTCTTATATCGCGATTGTTTAAAGTTGAAATTGGCATGGTTTCGACTCACTTTAACCTAGCATTGATATCGCCTTACCTCTAAATGGTGATTCTCAGCAGCATCATTAATCGGGCTCTTGCCATGTCTGTCCAGGTGGAGTCTGGCCCCGTGTCGCAAGAGCCAGCGGACAGTAGAGAGGTGGCCCCGGGAAGCCGCGAAGTGTAAAGGAGTGGCCCCATCGCCGTCTCTTGCGTTTGGATCTACGCCTCGTTCTATGATCTAGAATAAATATGGATTATACTTATAGCAACTCTGCAATTAACATAACGTACACACATCAAAAAAAGTTTGCGATCACTTCGAAAAACTGAAATCTTTTTTGTTACTGTAGATTATATTATGATTTTTTCTTCTTTTTAGATTCTTTATTTAAAAATAAATTAGAACATATGTAAAACAATGACCCCGTTCAATTGTTTTTTCATATAAAAAGGCTTTCAGTCCTAGCTTACGCTCATTCAGAAATCTGATTTAGTCAATTATAAGCGATTCAAGATATTTTTCGTGGAAAGTTGTGATTGAAAAAATGCCAAGAGGATTATCAGAGGTTTTACGAGCTAGAATAGTAACTTTGAGGGAAGAAGGATACACCACGAGAGTAATAGCACGCAGACTTGCTATATCCCAATCCTGTGTCGTGGCTACGTTGCAGAGGTATCACGGAATGGGGAATTTAGCTGACCGACCCCGCAGCGGTCGCCCAACTGTTTTGACAGCTGCCCAAAAGCGCTATATTAGATTGCTGGCAGCCCGTGATCCAACAATCAACGCCACTAAAATAAAAGCAGAAGTCAGGGCCGCCTCTGGGCTTGAAGTTAGCACGCAGACCGTTCGCAATTGCTTGCACCAGGCTGGATTACGAGCACGGAGGTCTTGGCGAGCTCCGCTCAATTCCCGGCAACGTCAACGACGAAGATTGCAATGGGCTAGACTTCGGCAAAATGAAGAAGGTGAGGACGAAAACATTTGGCAAAACTGTCTCTTCGTTGACGAATCCCGAATCAGCACTCGTCCAGATAACCGACGTGTCCGTGTCTGGAGAAGACCAGGCGACCGTGAAAGACAAAGAACTGCCACTGGAACAGTTCAGCAAGGCGGAAAATCGGTGTCCTTTTGGGGTGGCATTATGATTGGAGCTAGAACGCCTTTGATCCCGTATCGGGGCTTCATGACAGCAGACATGTACAAAGCAGTTGCTATTGATGATATCGTCAGACCATTCCGAGTAAACCATGGGCACCAATTTGTACTGGTCGATGATAATGCGCCCGCACATCGAGCTCAACGAGTCAATGCTGCTCTTCAAGAATACGATATCACACGATTAAACTGGCCTGCCGGCTCGCCCGACTTAAACCCAATAGAGCACGCGTGGGATGCTTTTAAACGAGCAGTATGGAACCGTGAGCCACGTCCCCAGACAGTTCCAGAGCTCAGGGAAGCCGCTATTGAAGAATGGGATAGGTTACCCCAGGAAATGCTGGATAACTTGATCCTCAGCATGCCCAGGAGGATCTTCGCATGTATTCGAGCCAGGGGAGGAGTTATTTTATATTGAATTCACACCTTTTAATAATAAATTGTTGTTTAAGTTTAATTAAACAGTCTTTTTCTTTCTATGAAATTTCTATCACTATTACATTATGATTAATGGCTCAATTTTTTAAAATAAATAATAAAAAATAGTTTTATATTTTAATTTCAAACAGGGTATTCCTATTTAAAGAAAGCATACAACATAGATTTTTTCTTGATAAAGTTAAATTTAAAGAATTATAGGAGCTTATGCTATTGATCGCAAACTTTTTTTGATGTGTGTATGTACAGAAGGAGTTACCGAGAAGAATAATGGTTACTTATAAATTGAGAGATTAAGGATTTGAATCCCTGAGACGCCTTTTTAGTAGCAGTAAAACTCCTTGTGAAAGAGTCCGTCCAGGGAAGTACTGACCGCATAGACGGTGGCGCCATATTTTTTCCCGCGTCAGTGCGTTTGTTATATCTGTGTCTGGTTGAAAAAAAAAAATACCGCTGAAAGTTCACAATTTTGGTTCGTCATTTTATTGTAGAGCGAAATTTTTTTCTCACAATCGAAGTGAAAAATAAAGTTTTCACCTCGAAACTAAAATCCAATATAAACCCTCGGAGTAACCTCGGGTATATATCGCCCCTTTGCCAGAACAACGTGTTATCTCTAAAACATCTACATATATAAATAACACGTTCTGGCAAACGGGAGATATTGGCTCGTTTTAGTCCCTCGATAAAAAATATACTATCTCATGTTTGATCATGTGGCTTATATCAACAACGGTACGAATTAACTACTTGGTAGGTACTTGGTATAACGAGCTGGTGTCCGCAACTCGACGTCCAGGCGCCTAGTTTTGCGTGTTACGAATTAAGTTAAACGATAACTGTAAGAAATTACACAGCAAGCAATATAAACGCTGCGATTTCTAAGTTTCTTCTAAGTTATTGGCTTCACTTAGCCAAGTCACGTACGAATGAAAGTTTGCTCTCGACAGGATATAATGTTAATGCCGTAATAATGCAAGTTGTTTTACACGCGCACATGTTTATATAAATATATACAATATCCATACCCAAGTATTCTTACGTAGTAATTGAGGTAAAGAAAGCATAATTATATTGCACTCTCAATAATAAAACGACGAAATTCAAAATGTTAACTCTTTGGAAAACTGACAAAAAAATATAAAAATCGAATTTCGGCATACTTAGTACCAGTTTTTCGATAATATACTTGTGATCTTTTTCTTATCCACCAAGGTAAACTAATTCTGAAGCTAAATGCATCTTAACCTTCACCTTTCAACCGTCGATAAACACAAATTCATTAATCAGAACCATTGACTTACAATTATATGGACGTCGGGTCCGCGCTAAAAAGTGTCCGAACTTATAGGGCGTTAAAATCGTATACAGAGCGTCATTCACGCTTTAGTCTTCGTTTGTTCGACTGACAGCGAAGCAAGCAAAATTAGACAGTACTGCGATGACATTACAATTTAAATTCAACGTTTTAGCTTTTTCATATTCCTTTACATGTCACTACGTTTAAATAGGTTGACTTGGGACATTTTTTTCGTGGTTTTTGTATTAGACCCGTCGTCCATTTATTTGTAAGTCAATGATCAGAACATATTATAAAATTCAAAAAGTATGTATTAGTAGGTATGTTTAGTTCAACGCGGTTGTAACAGTACGTTTTAATTGCTTGATCATGGAATTTTCAAAAGTTGCTCCACCTGGTCCAACGACAATACGTATTTTGAAAACTAAGTTAAATAAAACTACTATCGTTTTTTATACCCAATACAATAGATGACATTTCTGAAATTAAGTTTAAATTTGAAAAAGCGAGAGTTTCGTTTAGTGACGGTATTGTTTTCAACGTGCGAACACGTACTTATGTTTTTTAAATCAATTTTTGCAGTTTTCTAAATGTTACTTTTTGCTACTACGTCACTTTATTATTAAAGATGCTATTTGTACAACAAACCGGTTAAATAGTAGAGACAGGGTTAAAAATTTGAAATTTATCATGAGTTTTCCAGTGATAAAACCTGCACGTTGGACAAGGTACACAACCGTCCAAAAACGTCTGAAGTCTCTAACCCCCATTGGGCTGAGTATGGCCTAAACCCTGGCATGAAAGGAGATCCATTTCCAGCAGTGGGACGTATAAATGGGTTGATGATGATGACGATGATGACAAAACATCGGTAAGTTGAGCCTAAGAATTCCCGATACAATGAATACAAGAGTAACTAAATTTCAAAAAATCTAAACTTAAGATTCTTTACCGTGTAAGTAAATGGTAGTGTGGATCCGTAAAGCTACTTAATTTATTTATCTAACCTAGTTTAAGACTATCTAAATATATATAGTACAGTATCTTGGCTTCGTTCGACGAAGGAACGACTACAATATGGAGTTAGTGTAATGCCCATCAAAAAGGTAAACTTCTTTTAAGGAATGTGCCCAGAGCGTAACCTCAGATCCGTCACAACACAACAACTCTAGGTCCACGGAACTTCCACTGGCGCAGGATGAATTGTTATGAACAAGATACCTTTTTATTGGATCTCTCATCAAAATATTCTTTCCACAGCTGGTGGCAATAAGTTTTAACTTTATACAAACAATCTGTGTAATAGGGCAAATAATAATATAATAATATCATTTATTTTCTCCCAACAATTACAAAATTATTGCAAAACGGCCCTATCGCCAGTAAGTAACTAAATTAATTGTAGATCAAGAACAGAAAAACAACAAGTTGGTAAAACTCGTTTCCTAAATTTGGTCTTACAAGGACCGAATATCTGAATATCTCAACTAGACTCATACTGCCCTTGCCATAACTAACGCATTTGAATTTCGGTAACTTTCGACATTTTGACACATAAGAGCGGTTACACATGGCGATGCAAACGAGATGCATACGCGATGCAGTAACGATGCAGTAGCGATGCAGTCGCTAATCGTCTACCTTTACACACGCGCGTGCGATTTTAAGCAGCGATACAAACGCTATGTAAGCGCGCAACTGCATCGATACAAACGCGCGATTATATGGATGCAGTCGCGCGTTTGCATCGATGCAATCGTCTATAAATCGCAAGCGTAGCGATGCAATCGCTCGTTTCACGAACGCGCGTTTGCAACCACTCTAAAGTTTTATTGTCACCTAACAATGTCAATTACGCTCATTGACTTACAAATAAATGGACGACGGGTCTAATACAAAAACCACGAAAAAAATGTCCCAAGTCAACCTATTTAAACGTAGTGACATGTAAAGGAATATGAAAAAGCTAAAACGTTGAATTTAAATTGTAATGTCATCGCAGTACTGTCTAATTTCGCTTGCTTCGCTGACAGTCGAACAAACGAAGACTAAAGCGTGAATGACGCTCTGTATACGATTTTAACGCCCTATAAGTTCGGACACTTTTTAGCGCGGACCCGACGTCCATATAATTGTAAGTCAATGATTACGCTGATTTGATTTATCAATACTGAAAACTGAAACTAAATAATACATAAAAAAAACTGATTAGAGAGGGGGTCGTATGCTAAAATTGTCGATTACGTCTATATGTCGATTACCGCGGGGTCATCAAATTCTTCAAAGCATTAATTGCAGTTACGTTCGTTCGCAATACAAACAACGCTTACGAGATATCATGGCATAAAACATCCATAAACACAAGAAAGTGTCATATAGAGACGTGAGTTGCGAAACAAAGTGTTATGTGCATCATAATGATACATTTCTACTGTCGTATTTCATATCAAACGATTATTTATGTGGCTTTATTTACATAAACGTTCCACGCAATGCGCCAAGCCGATTATTCACCAGAACTGAGACGAAATCGATACTAGCAGAGCAACAGGGTATACCTTACCTATTTCTGGGGCCAAGCAGTAATGTGAGCATTATACTGTTTTTCGGTTTTGAAGGGTAAGTTCGATTCGTATCAGGGGGCCTACTCTCGATCTCCGTCCGACATCCGTCCGAAACAATTACAGTCACGACAAAATTAAAAGACAAATATCAAGTATGAAGCTTCATTCGCATCGCGCGTCTTTTCATTTGGTCAAGTATTGCTTATTTGGCAGTAATTGTCTCGGACGGATGTCGGACGGAGATCGAGAGTAGACCCTTAGTTCCGAATTCTAAAAATGCCGGTCCAAAATATCACAGGGATCATTTTATCTCAAGGTGTACAAATGATATTTGTACTTTCTCGGATTCGAATGGGACTTAGCTGCACAAGGGACATCAGAAGTGGCTCTGAGTTTTCTAGATTTTATAGTCTCGGATTCGGAACGAATAAGAATTGTATGCAGTGCACAAACGCGCTAAGGGAGCTGGTGAAATTACAGGCACACAAGACTTGTCAACTTATGTCTTAGGGTGACGGGCGCAGAGGAAGCGCCCCTCAGATCTTTGCAATTTAAATAATAAAGAATTTGCGAAGCTTTCCTAACACAAGCACCAATTGCTTAATGGAAGAACCGTATCTATTTTATAGCACCAAATTGAGTAACAAATTCATTATTTAGCCATTTAAAGGGGGAACGCTGCTAGCATCTTGGGCAACTTGCCGCGGGGACCCAATTTTAATTCATTAATATTTTAATTTTTTTCTAGAATAGCTTTAAGGAAAAGTAACATTTGATAGCATATCCATTTCATCCTAACGATCGCACCTCTCTTAGCGCCATGGAAATTAAACAAACCTTTTCACATAAAAAGCCACATTATCTATAGACGTGTCGCGCACAGTATGGTTATGTAAAACTGGAGAAAACTTAATTGCAGATCAACAACCTCCATCGATCGTTAATCCAAGGAAGGAAACGATCTGTGCGCACGCGCATTCATGCATTACTCACCCGAGTTCGGAAGATTGTTATATCTTTGTTAAGACTAGAAAATATTCTCCCAGAGTCGCTATATCTATTGAAATATTTGTAATAAAGAACTGAATAAGTTGAACATTAATATTTCATTGTTACGTACGTCTATTATGACCGTGTTCACTAATTTAAATCGTACTTTTGTAACGATATTTCTTCCACCAATAACCCGAACATCCAGCGCCCACTAAATCGGGCCACCAAAATCATCAAAATACAGTGTGAAAAGTTAATTCAATCTCATTATTTGTGAGCACAAAGATCGGCAACAAGAACATAAAGAAATTCGTGAGGTCTGCTAATTCATTAAGTAGTTGGGAGAGCGGTTAGCCCCGGTCAGGCAAACAGGTACTGGTTCGAATCCAGCCAGATTGAAAAAATAAATATGTTTCTTCGATCTTTTTGTGTCAATAATAACACCAAACTAGTATTTACAGAAAAAAATATTAATAGCATGGTAATAAAAACGTGATATTCAATAAAGTTTATATTATATTATATATAGCTCGTATATATTTACATAACTCTTTATGTTCTATAGCAATTGTACTCACCATCCACTTAACGCAGTCTAAACACCCAGTCTGGGCAGCTGCGTGAATAGGCAGCATGCCGTCTCTGGCCCTCGCATCCAGGCGACCTCCGGCCTCCAGCACGAGGTACTTGAGGACAGCTAGGTGTCCTTCCTGTGCAGCCAGATACACTGGGGTTACGTCGTTGTCCATCGCTGTGTTTGCACTGTGAAGAAGAATTTAATGATTTGATTAAATCGTAATTACAATTACAAGAATGTGACACATTTTTCAAAAATCTTTGTGGCCCAACAGTTAACATTATGGGTGCTAGAAAGCTTTTATTCCCTGTAGCACCAATTTGAAAAAGGAACCTTTCTAAACTAAAAAAAAATTAAATATTAGACAACATCCATACGTAGCTCTGATCCCAAAGTAAGCAGCTAAAGTACTTGTGTTATGATAATCGAAAACAACGACCGTAACATGAACACCCAATATAGAAGAGACAATATAGAAAAATTAATTTTCTACACTGACCCGGCCGGGGATCGAACCCGAACCTCAGAGATGGTGACACTGTGAAAACCGGTGTGCAAGCTACTCGACCACAGAGGCCGTAAAAATTCATTCTAATTTTAATTTTGTGATTAGTGCCTTCTTGAATTTCGTTGATCTGGTGTATTCATAACGTGTGAACTTTCCTAGACCTGCGCCCCAATTCTGCTAATTTTCTGGAAACCACTGGTCATTGTCATTTCTATCAGACTTCACTGAAATGTCTGTTATTCTATTAAAAGCTAGTTGCAGTCTCAATAGAGTGTCAGTGAAATGGCAGTGATGGCATTCATTCTTTAAATCACTAACTAGAAATTATATTATAATTGTTATAAAAATATTATAATTTCAATTATTTATGAGTATTTTAAAAAAACACCTTATCGTGGCGCTGATTTTCAGCAAGGCCGTGGCGAGTGATCCTCTAATAGCAATTAAAAAAAAATCAACAAAAATAAATGAACAGGAAATCCGACATAATAGAAAATGTACATGTTACTAACTATATAGACACGTTAAATACTTATACTATGTAAATGATAATGTCATTTAGATAGAATAAGTATTTAACGGGCTTGCTGAAAATCAGCGCCACGACACGGTTTTTTTTTAAAAAAAAGATAATCCGGTTGTGGCTAAAGCTGAGTAAGTCCTGTTTGTACCAATCGCGACGTGCATGACGGTATATTACTGCTTAATCATATAAATTGTTGTAATATTCTACTTTTTTTTTTTTTATTATTTTTGTCCTGTTTTTTTTTGTTTAAACACATGCGTGTCTGTGTTTGTACAATAAACAATTTTCTTATTTTTTCTTTCTTTCAATTACAATTCATATCTTAAGTTTTATCTCGCTTCATGAATAATTTAGCCATCATCGACGCGCCATCGACTTGCCATTGAAGAGCAGAATATCAAATTTTGCAATTTTTTTTTTGCAGTTAAATAACAAACTACTACTGCAAAACACCAAACGTACACAATCCTGTCATTGAAACTGAGATGATTTAGCATTAGCTAACTATATACAGGTTAGGTAAAAACAAGGATTTGTAAATTATATGAATAAAATTGGGTCCCTGCGGCAAGGTGCCCAAGATGCTGGCAGCGCTCCCCCTTTGTATTGCTATGCTAATGCGTTAGGCAATAGCCCCAAATTTTACTTTTTGGGAAACATAGAGTATTCCATTCCTCTGCCGTACTCATCAGAAAGGAGGAAGCAAAGTGCTTGTTACGAATGGGTGGTATATCACTGACATACGAATGGAGTGTTCCGGGCCTTCTAGTCGACCGAAGGAGGAACGGTGATGATGGAACTAAATTCAAAAGTGCCTGCACACATTCCCCGAAATGTATCCGATAGAAAACCGCCAAGCAGGCTACTTGCGATGGTCGACATTTTGTAGATCCGACTCCACAAGAGAGTTGTTTTTGGTATTTTAATTTACACGATTATTTTGATATCAAAGCAAAGTAGAAGAGCTGTGCTTCATCAACCAATAATATTTCGTAATCTTGACTAATTAGCGTGGATAACATCCCAACCAGAACCAATTTAGTTCGTTTCGCAAATTAGTCTTAACAAAAATTAAATCAAGTGTGTCCAAGATTATGCATCGGAAAACTAAGATCCGTATCTATAAAACTATCAAACGACCGATCTTAATGCATAATTGCGAGGCTTGGACGTTAACTCTGAGGGAAGAAATCAAGCTTCTTGTCGCCGAAAGAAAAATCTTCCGTAAGATTTTGGGACCAACGCAAGATGGTAGCTGGAGTATCTGAACGAACCAAGAGCTGGAGGACATCATATGTCATAGATAATGTCATTGGAGAAATCAAGCCCGCGAGACTCAGTTCACTCAGACACCTTGAAAGGATACCAGCTCTTATGGCGGTGGTCGGCCCAGATGGTGAAAAGATCTCTTCGCCCTGTACGTAGAAAAAGAAGGACATCACAAGATACCACTGGCGTCAACTCATATAAGAGGCCCAAATCCACTTCGGGTTGCTGAGCCAGTGGGGTAAATAAATAAAAATCAAACCCTCTTCATCTAGCGCCCATAGTTCACTAAACTGTAGGAATGAAATATAGCTTTTTCTGAATATCGTATCAATATTCGAAATCGGATTTCAAAACTATATATTTTCTGAAACTATATATTCATGGATACAGCCCGCGTACGCGCTGCGTTGATACATTACCGTTACCATGGACCAATAACCCATGTCCATGCCGTTACTCATATGCGGAATCAGATTTAGAAACTATATATTATTGGATATAGTTCTACAAGAGTAATGTGGGTCAATGTTAGTAAACAGTTTCGAAGACGCACAAAAAAACGGTTTTGCGTTGATATCCACTGAGTAAATATATAGTGAAAATCTGATACGAAGCAATATCGGTATATAGTTGGGAAAGTATATGATTTCGTGTTGGTATCCACTCGGTAATCGCTCGGCTTGATTCGGCATCGCTATAAAATACGCGATGCGGAGTAATATCGATATATAGTTTCTAAGATATACGATACAATATATAGTTTCAATAACTATAGGTATAAGATTTGTAACGCCCATTCCTACTACACTGCCGAGATCGCACATTAATTTCTACACTATAATAACAACATAATCAAACCAGAACACGAAACAACAAATCCTATAAATAAAAACCACGAATTCACACGTAAACAAAAAACCTTTCGGAAAAGATATTAATAAACAACTTCATAAAACGAAATTACATATTTAAAAGAAAAGGCCCAAAGAAACAGAAATTGGTACACAGATAATAGAGTTACACCTCTGTGTTACATAAAATTATGTAATACGTAGGTAGAAGGTGTTAATGAAACATCGGCACTTTTGTAAGGGTTACCAAACATGATATAATAGATAGTCATCGTTCGTGGGATTTGTCCAGCAGACAATGGTACAAAGTGTTCATAATAGAGAATTAACAATATACCAACTTATAAAATATATGCACAATTGTGAATAAAAGAAATGGCCGATGTTCTTCCGGGCGTCTTACGGCTATGAGACACAGGAAAAGTACTCTACATATTGTAGACAGAATATTTAATAATAAGAATTAGGTTCATGGAGAGATTACTTTATATTCAAAAGTAAGAGATAGTGCATATGAGACTTTTAAAAAATTGTTTGTTTCATGTGGGAATGACATCATCCAAATACAGTTTTTGTGATACTCATAGAAAGGGTCAACTACAGGATTAAATAACAAAATATCTTAAATTAAAAGAACACCGTTCATTTACAATTTGTTAAAAAAGGAAATGATAAAGAAGGAATGCCCTTATATATAAACAACTTTTAATCCAGTAAGCGGAGATATGACTACAACAAACTCACAATACACAATACAAATACGACGCGGCCATATATAAACCTATAGACCATCAGCTGTCTTACAGAGGTGGATGCAGTGAGATGCCACTTGATTACGATTCATAAATCAATGCTATTGATCAAAAATATCACCCGATTTATATCAATTTTGTTAATAATTTGCTTGAGTATTTTAGAATACTAGTAATGCCATCTGTTGGTAATGGTCGGTACTAAATGCGCTGGTACCTAGCTGCTGGCGTTACAGTACATAATACATATTTTTGACTTTATAGTGCGTGGAAATAAGCGTGGAAATAAAAAATATATCTCTCCTGAACCACTATACAATGGAAGACGTCATGAAAACATTTTGTCGCAAAATACAACAGCACTAATTACGCAATCATAGTACAGGGACTTCACTAATTCGATGTTATCATCAAATTGGACTCCGCACAACCCAGACTTGAATTAATTTTAAAAAATATTTTCCAAAATTGGTCCGGAAATCTATCACCCACAGTGCTAGCCGCCTTTACCTATTTGTCATATCACAAACATCCTAATGTGGAATTGACTTCGTTCTGATGTTATTCATTACCCAGCCTCGAGTATATAATCAGAAATAGAGACGAAATGTCATTTAATTTGTTTGAAAACTATTCTGCCAAATCATTACGGTGACAACTACGCTCCGATTGGCCAACACGAATAAGAAACAATTGACGGGTGTCGTCAATTGCATCACTTCAAATCGACCAGTTTATCTTGAGCTTTGCTATAATGGACGAAAATTTAAAAATTACATATTTAATATTTAATTACCGATGAAATGTGATTCCGCTTGTTTCGCAATTAGATGATTTGCTGCTTTTCCCACACCACCGAATGGAACAACCCCCAATAGTTAGAGATATTATCTTTATTACAATAAATTCAGAATATTTTTGGAATATACGGAGACGTATGTACACACAGGTCAGTTGTTGGCGCTGCACTTTTTCAGCTTTCTAATTTGTGATTACAGTGCAAACGGGAGTTGATTATTTAAAAGTGATACAAGGCCCATTTGCTTGACGAATTGCTCATTGATGGCCCTTATTTCGTCTCCGTTTCTGATTATATACTCGATGTTACCTAGCTACACACGCTATAATAAATATTACAACAATCCAAAGTCAATGTAATTGTAGTATGCAACTTAAAATCTAGTTATTCTCACTGCTTATGTTAGTCTGTGTCCATTATCTCTCGTGAAACTTTGTGAGGAAGACAATAGCCGAGATTTGAACACTTTACGAATGTTCA